GGGGAGCCCTTGGGGTTATGGGAAAGGATTTTTGGGGTGCAACGCCTGATTTGGGGGGGGGGCTTTCTCTCCTCCCGCAGGCTCCCCCGGCGCTGCCGCCGCCTCCCCGGCCCCCCGCGAGGGTCCCGTCGCCCCTTCTTCTTCCTCCTCCTCCTCCTCTTCCTCCTCCTCTTCCTCTCCCCCCGGCATGGACGCCGAAGCGGATCCCCCACCTCCTCCACCGACCGGGGGTCCCCCTCAATCTGGGGGGGCCCCCCTTAACCTCCCCTTGATCCTGGAGGAGCTACGGGTGCTTCAACAACGCCAACTCCACCAGATGCAGATGACGGAGGAGATCTGCCGGCAAGTTCTACTTTTGGGGACCCTAGAGCACCCCAAAACCCCCCTACCCCCCTTCACCGCCAAAAACGACCCCCCCAAACCCCATTTCTTCCATCTTTTCCCTCCTTTCCCCACCGGAACGCGAGGGCTCAAAACCGAACCCCACGGTGGCGGCGTCACCGCCGCCGCCTTCCTCCCAGCGTTGGCTGGAGGATCTTCACCGGGTCTTCTGCGCCCCAAAAATATCGGGGGGGATTCAGGGACCCCCCGGCACGAGTGCGGTTTTTGCGGGAAAGCTTTCGGCAGCGATAGCGCCCGGCAAATCCACCTCCGGTCCCACACCGGCGAAAGACCTTACAAATGCAACGTCTGCGGCAACCGCTTCACCACCCGCGGCAATTTGAAGGTCCATTTCCACCGGCACCGCGAGAAGTACCCCCACGTTCAGATGAACCCCCACCCCGTCCCCCAACACCTGGATTACCTCCTCCCGGCGCCGGCGTCCACCCAACATCTCACCGGAGCCGCCCAACATCTCGCCGGGGCCAGCCAACACCTCGCCGGGGCCAACCAACATTCGTCTGCGCCCAGCCAACTCAACGTGGCCGCTCAACATCTCAACGCGGGCACTCAAAACCTCGCCGGGGCCGCCCAACCGCTCGCCGGGGCCACCCAGCAGCTCGCCGGGGCCGCTCAACCGCTTGCCGGGGCCACCCAACATCTCGCCGGGGCCAACCAACATCTCGCCGCGCCCACCCAGCCGCTCGCTGGGGCCACCCAACATCTTACCGCGGCCAACCAACTCAACGCAGCCGCCCAACATCTCACCGGGGCCACCCAGCATCTCACCGGGGCCACCCAGCATCTCACCGGGACCACCCAGCATCAAACCGGGACCACCCAACTCAACACGGCCACCCAGCCCGTCAACGCGACAGCTCAACCCGTCAACGCAACCGCCCAACATCTCACCGGGGCCGCCCAACCTCTCGCCGCGGCCACCCAACATCTCACCGGCACCACCCAACTCAACGCGGCCGCCCAACACCTCACCGGGGCCGCCCAACCTCTCGCCGCGGCCACCCAACACCTCGCCGCGGCCACCCATCACCTCGCCGCGCCCACCCAACACCTCACCGCCTTCCACAAGCTTCTCCTGCTGAAGGCCACCGAGGGAAGATCCAAGGGGGGCGATGAGAACACCCCTCCCGGCAAACCCCCCGGTTGGGCGCTCTTGACGGGTCGTTTTAAGGGATCCCCCCTTTTTTTGGAGACCACCCCCTCGGAGACCTCCAAACTTCAACAACTGGTGGAGAAGATCGACCCCCCAAATCCGTCGTCGTCGTCGTCGTCATCGTCGCCGGATCCGCCTCGACACCAGTGCCCGGTTTGCCGACGGGTGTTGAGTTGCCCTCGAGCTTTACGGTTACATTTTGGGCAACACGGGGGGGTTGCGGGGGGAATTTTTGGGGGGGCCGAGCGCCCTTTTCGGTGTAAGATTTGCGGGCGTTGCTTCTCCACCCGCGGTAATTTACGGGCGCATTTCGGGGGGCACCGGGGGGGCCCCCCAAATTCTTGCCCCCTCTGCCAGAAGAAATTCACCAACGCCCTCAACCTCCAACAACACGTCCGGCTTCATTTGGGGGGGCAGCTTCCTAACGGAGGGGGAACCCCCCAATTAGGGGGGATCCCCCAAATAGGGGCTAACCCCCAACAAGGGGGGAGCCCCCAAATCGGGGGGACACCCCAAGAGGAAGAGGAGGTCTCCGAAGAGGAGGAGGAAGAGGAGGAAGGCACCGAGGAGGAAGAGTCGGCCGGGGGGAGCAGCCCCAAGCGGGACCCCCCCACCGAGGAAGAGGAAGAGGAGGAGGAAGAGGAAGAGGAAGAAGAAGGGGAGAAAGCGGGGGGTGGTGGCGGCGGCGAGACCCCCGAAACGACGGGGGACCCCAAAACGGAGGAAGGAGGAGGAGGAGGAGGGGAGGAAGGCAAGGATTCGGCCGAGGGGGCGAAGAAACAGGTAAGGGGCGCTACCAAGGGTGGGAAGGGGGATTTGGGGGGTCCCCCCAATTAAGGAGATTTTGGGGGTTCCCCCCCAATTAAGGAGATTTTGGAGTCTCTCCCCCCCAAGGGAGGGGTTTTGGGGGTCTCCCATGGGAAAAGGGGGTGGATTTGGGGGTCCCCTCCCAATTAAGGAGATTTT